GATGCTCCGGGACTGGCAGATCACATTCTTCCCCCTGGCAGCTCATCAAAACTTCCCCAGGGAGGCTGGTGACCTCATTCAGTGTCCCAGGTTGTTTCCCCACCAGTGTCCAACGCAGCTTCTGCAGAATCTTTTACCAGTTTCCAGGTAAGAATAAATAAATATATATTTTAAAAAGTCACTTCTGCCCCAGCAAGAGGAACGCTGCAGGCCAGCAGCTGCCAGATCCAAAAGCCATGGCCAACCGTTCCTGATGTCCTGGTAGCTCTCTTCCTGCTTGAAGACACACCAGGATGAGGCTGGCATTGTTCACATCCACACTTCCAGGAAGCTGAAGCTTTTTCCAGCCCTGCTTCCCTCCATGCTGATGCCTGAAGTGGAGATGGAGCAGGGGTACTCTACCACCCGTCCTGTGCTGCGGGCATCCTCACCATGCCCATCCCCACAGGAGCCTGGCATCACCCTCAGCACCGCAGGGCACAGCTCAGCTTTTCACCACTTAACTTGGGTGGTTTTAAGCAGTGGGCCAAAGCAGGACTGTGCCCATGGGAAAAGGCGTTGAAGAGAGACAGCCAAGCTCCAGCCTCTCAGCTCCGCTTTCCCACAAGCACCGTTTTCTCCCTTTCTTTTCTGGCCCCACGTGTCTCTCTCCTCCCCCTCTATTTTAATCCTCTCTTCTGGGAAATTATAGATTAGAAGAGAGAAATGAAAGATGGAGATACATGCACCCACTAATAGGCACTAAGCACATATTGACACAAGGTGTAATCAATCTGGAAGCTAAAAAGAGCTGAACCAGCAAGGGGCCAGCCAGCCAAAACCCACAAAACCTCTCTGGGAAGCTTAAACGAGCCCAGCCTGCTGCTGGGAGTGGGTTTATCCCTTCCTCCGAGAGCCCTCTTCCAGGGAAAACACCAAATGAGGTGCGAAGAGGGAAATAAAAAGGGGGAAATAAGCAAATCCTTTCTAAAGACAGTTGCAGTGTGGAGAGGAGCGAGACCAGTCCCCACCTTTAAACCTCCCTGAAGGTATCTCCTGCAGCTGTGTCCTGTCATCTGCAGCACGGCTAGTCCCTCCAGCACCATCGGGATCTCATACCTGCCTGGGGCACCATAGCCTCCATGGGACCCTCATTTTGGATCCCCCACCACGGTTGTCCTCCTCCCACCACAGCCCTGCTCAGTGTGGACCTCCCCAAACCGATCCCCTCATCGTTTCAGCTAATCTCCCTGGCCCGGACCAAAGTCTGAGCCGCCTCACCTGGTTGCCATGGAAAAGGCTGTAATGGTATTAGGAAAAGCAGCTAAATCATAAAAAAAAAAGCTTTTAAACCTGTTTAAACTCTAAAGAATCATTACCTTCCCCAGCAGCCCTCCCCATGCCTCCTAAGGGAGCTCCCCCACCACCAACCTTCAGATATGTAAATGCCACCAGCTGTCCCTGGCTCCCTGTTCTGTCCCCAGCAGCGTGGGCTGGCCAAGCTGGGGAGGGATCTGTGCTGGTGGACCTGCCGGGTCTGCCAGAGCCGAGGAAGCTGGTGAGACCCCAGGGGCTCCCTGGTTTGTCCCCCCAAATGCAGGGCGAGTGGCCCACAGCCAGCTCCGGGTACCAGCAGGGCCAGCACCAAGCTGGAGGGAGCAGGGATATGACACAGGTGGTGGTGTCACAGCTGAGTGGGGAAGTATTTTTAGCAATTCTTGCCAAATCTTGTCCCCGTCTGGAGGAGAGCATCTTACGTTGCCAAGGCAATCGGAGCTGCTGCTCCTCATCTTCAACCAAAAGTGTGCAAGCCCCAATCCTGCTGCCTGAGAGAGCTGGGGTGGGTAGCACCAGCATCCCAGAGCTTGTGCCACTCTCTTGGGGATGCCTGCAGGGACCGAGCTCCTTCCTGGACAGGTGCTCACTGGTTGACCACGTTTCTGGTCATCCTGGCCCCTACGTCTTGCTCTGCACCATTTTTCACTGGAAAAATCTCACAGTGATGGAAATTGTGGCAAAGGTTTCGGCAGCTGCTGGCAGAGGTCTACACCAGCACCTCCAAGTGTTGGCTCATCCAGGGAATTAGGAAAGGAGGCCCTTGCGGGTGCTAATTACCACGGGAACCCATCACCGCCACCAGTCCGGCCAGGCTGGTTGGACTGGGGAGGCGAGGACATCCCGGAGCCGTGACTCAGGGCGGCCGGGACCATCCCTGGAGGCACGGGCAGAAAATTCCCCAAATTCTGAGTTTTCAGGGAAATCAAAAAAAAAAGAAAAAAAAAAAAAGGATTTGCCAAAGCAGGTCCA